TATGACAAAACAAAAGTAGTTATGCGATTCCTCAGTAAGATTAGGCTAGACAAATGGGGATATGGATGATTTGACAGAAATATGAGTGCCTGAAGGTTGCTGACTTTTTTTGTCCTTGTTTGAATATTCCTATTTATATTTCACACTGAAGTGATGAAGCAGCAGCAGGGTTACATATTCATGGTGGGGCAGCTGGAATGCTTGCTCATTTGAGGTGTGCAGGACCTGCTACAACCTGTAGAAGCTTCAGCTTCATTAACCTAAATAGGTACATGTGTTTTGAAGAAAGCTAGAGGTCTGTTTAAAATTTAAGGCAGTGACTTCACAGCTGCAATGCATCGTGATCGATTATTCTGCTGCTGCTAAAGGTGTAGCTAATAGAGCTATTAGCAAGAGGCTTGACCTTTTATAGGGAGTGTTCTGCTGGCAGGTATGGAGTTTAGTTGTGTTCCTGCTCTTCTGCTGCCTCAGGTATTATTCAACTGTTGTTTTTTCATATATATATATATATACAGTAGATGTTGGCTGCTGGTATTGCAGGTGTTGGTGTGTTGTGCTGTTGGCTTGGTTGGGGTCCATCTGCCTCAAGCACATGTACCAGTACAGGGGGATGCAGTGTGGTCACAACTCTCTCCGTGGCAGTCTGGTAATTCTGCTTAATTCAGCAGTTTCTTATTCATTTCATGTTATTGAGAATTTAACAGGGAATAGTCTGTGTTTTTCCATTGTACTGTAACTAGTTTCTTCTCTGGGATTTCAGGAAAAAGGAGATATTGTGTGTGCTTACAGACCAGGCTGTGTTTTGGTATAAGGTGGTTTTCTGCAATTTGTAGGGTGCATTGGTGCTTCTTGTAATAGGATGTGCAAGTAACCATCTACTTGAAACTATTTTCTGGTGAATTAACTTTTCTTTTTATGTGATTGTTAGCTATAAGGCCATGTAATATTAAAACAGATTCCACCAGACAGTTCCTGAGTATTTGGGCCATCAAGATAAACCTACTTTTATTAGGTTGCCTCTGAATAAAGCAGGCATAACCATAATGCTTACCTTTAACCACTGTGCATGTGCCATCACGTAACGCTACCCGTGTATAAATAAATATCAGTGTCCCCAGACCTGTAGTGCTATCAGAGTGGACTTCTCTTCAAGTTGGTAAAATTTCCATTGCCTGAGGAAAGCAGTTAACCAGAGCTGACTTTCCAGCGACAGCTTTTTCAAACAGAAGTTTTCTGTAGAGATTTTGTTTTAAACAAAATGATGCGTATTGTGATTCCACAGTCATACAGCACAGGGGCAGAGTTATGGTTTGTAAATGGATGCCCAGTTTCTGACCAGTGATCTTTCAAGTGCTTTGGAGGCTGACAGCCATCCTCGGATAAAGGCTGAGGAGAGAATGGAAGTTATATATTGCTTCACAAGCTGGCCTGGTTCATAGGTGAACTCAGAAAATAAGACACTCTCGACAATTGTGGAAAAGTTCATGAGAGCTTTTGGAAATTCTGTAAAGTTTTTATCTAGAAGGAAAAAGTTAGGTTTAAATGTGTAGTTTGCTGGCCTTAGCTGTAGCTTGGTGGATAGGAGACAGAGACAGGTGAGCTGAAGCTTTAGAGGTGATGTGTCCTTTCATACCTCATCTCTGCTTGCAGGAAAAATAAATTAAGTAAAGGTAAACCAGTAGCTGATACTTGATTTTTCCTTTTCTGCAACAGAAGATTGATATCCTTTATTTTTCTGTAAAAAAATTAGTGTTTGATGACAAATACTAAAAAAAGGAAAAAGTCTTGTAATATTCTCATTTAGTAGAGGGAAACAGAGGCACAAAAAAAGTAACTGATTTCTCTGGCTTCATCAAAAACAAAGCATGGAATAGAGGCAGCAACCACCAGGATTCCTGAGTAACAGAAATAGTAATGCTGAAGATAATTTACAGAGGTTTCATAAATAAACCAACTTGTCTGCAAGCAAAGAATGATGCTGCTGTTGTGACTGTTCTGAAATGGTACCTGTTTCTTGAAATGGATATGAATAATCCAGGGAAATGAGTGCTGGGTCAGGGAATTGCATCCTACGGTGCTGTCCTTCTCGGTAAGCCTGCCAGTACTTTTTTTCTTTGGTCGTAAGCTCCTACTCTGTATATTATGTAACAAACAGAAATCACAGACAGATGGATGACTTAAATCAAATTTAACAATGACAGTTTCATTCCTGAGCATGGCAGCATATTTATTTATATCTCCATATATATGTGTGTGTGGAAAAAAAAAAAAAAAAAAGACTTTTGGTTTTGTGTTGTAGAATCCCCAATGTCTCAGCTCTCCCCTGTGTGGTGCTTTGGAATGATACTATTTGTGACTCCCTTCACTTGTTTCTTTGTCCTTCTCTCCCAGTCTTTGATTGCTGTCTAGTCAGACAGTATTTACCATAACATCAAAGCAAAAGCAGGTTCTGTCTGATCAGTGCTTGAGTGGGAGATTTTGGAAACTGGTGTGTGTAAGAAAACAGTGTTCTTTGCAAATTAGCCATGATCTTCTTTGAGGCTGAACAAAACATGAGCCCACTTCCCATGCTGGATTCCCAGTGTGAACACCAAGTACTCCAAAGGATGATCTCCTGTGAGGGAGAAGAAGATGAGAGGTAACTCGCAACTGAGAGAATCTTAAGGGTTTTTCCTTCTGGAATAAAATAATTTTGTAGCTTGACAGAAAATCAATACTGTCTCATTCTTATTAGGCCTGTAGCAACATCATCTAGAGTCATCTCTACACCACAGAAAACTGCATTTTGAAGTTCCCGTTATTGCAGCCATACTGCTGCTAAGAAATCTCGGGGTTCCTCGTGCAGATGAGGTTCCCTTAGTCCTCCTTGTGCATTGGGATGTCTCATGAAGGGCAGGTTCCTGTGCTCACTCTTCAAACTATATCCTTAGAAAAAACTCGCCTCTCTTTTAAGTATGACTGTGGGAATGCAGCTTTGTCGGTGTTAAATCGTTCAGTATCGCCAGCATCTGTACATCTGCAGGAGTGGTAAACACAACGATTTACATTGTCAAAGTCCTAGAACAACAGAGCAGAGAATAATCTCGTGTGTGTTTTGGCAAAACACATACATTACTACTGGGAAATCTTTTGCTTGTATTTGAAGTGCTGAGAAGGTAATCAACTAATTTTGGCAGTTGTTTGAGTAGGAATGATGTTGTGTGTACACAAGCCTATCGCAAAGGCATTCTCATTATAGTTTGAACACAAACACATGAAAGCTAATGGCAATAACTAACAAAAGTAGTAAAAGGAGGAAGAGATTATGGAGAGGGTGTCTCATTTAAATGAAAGCATCATTCAGCTTTAACTGTCTGCTAAGCACCTCCTTGGAGGGTAGCTTGATACTTTTTGTGTGGCTGACCCAGCCGTTGGAGTACCATGAGACAGGAGTGGCAAGAATCAGGCTGTGGTACCAGTTTCTTAAAAGATGAAGGAGAGAACAGCAGCCTTTGAAGAAGCCTAGCATTCAGAATATGTAAGGCATCTGAAAATTGGAAAGGAGCTGAAAGTGAATTACTAAACAGAGCTGGGGACCAACACAAACTAACAAGTATAAGTGTAAGCCTGAATTTATCAGCTAAAGCCAGGCACGTTTGAGTGTGTGTGTGTATGAGAGTTTCTTTCTAAAAGCAAAGAGTGAGAGAGTGATATATTGCTTTGATGCTCTTTAAAAGAAAATGCTTGCAATCCATATCATTTTGCTGTCAAATGTATTTGAAAAATAGAAAAACATGTTGGATATATGTTCTGCAAATAGTTATCAGCAGTATTCCAGAAGTATTTGGTTTGGAGGATTCCTTGGAATCCACCATTCAAATCTCCATGTTTCTTGAATTATCTGGAAATTGGCTGTTATTCTATGATATAGTAAAGTAGGGGCATTACAGAAGTTAACTCAAGCCTGGTGAACCCTCTTATCCTGTTGTCAATGGAGAGGCTCTTCCAAAGGGGGAATTCAGAGTCTGTAAAAGTATTTTACTTGCGTTTTAAAGGCACTACCTCTCTCTGTGGTCTATAGAAGGCTAAACTTCGTCCATAGTCCTTTGTATGTCCCTTATTCACTGGTATTTTTAAGCAAAACCCAGATTCCCAAAAGGGATACCTTTTACCTCTGAGTATATGGATGCCAGCCTGATGACTGCAGTTGCATAAATGAATACTACCAAGAAGGGCTCCAGATTCTGACTTTTTATGATGTCTGTTGTCCTTTGTATGGTTTTGAGAAATTTCATTGCACCCTCTTGATTCCACCAGTGCAAAGGTGTAAAATATTCAGGTTTTCTTTTTCCAATTCTCCTGCGTGGGGGAAGCTCCTAGTAATTACAGGAGGAAGTGAGAAACTTCAGGGTCAGGTAGCTCTCCACCTAACTGATGCTTTAGTGGAACAAAATGTAGCAAAAGGAGTCAATGCAGGAGCTGCAGCAAGTTGGGCTCGGTGGCAGCAGTTAGAGTTGCTGGATGAAAGCAAAACATGGCCCGTTTGTCTGGAGGGCTCTTTGGGGTTCAGTGGTATGAATGGTACTCTGAAAATGTAAAATGTTATTCATGCTCTTAGAGAAAGAGCTGGCTCAGCATGCATTAGAGCCAGTGGCTGTGACAGTTGAACGACATGTATTTAAAGGGGGTGCTGTTAGGGCCCCTCTTGTGTTCACTTACCTTCTATTTATGCTTATTACTGTTGGTGATGGACAGTGATGGAAAGGTTAATCTTCACAGCAGATATTCTTCTGTGATAATCTTCTTCATGGGTTTTTGATCCTAAATCATCTACTGTCACCATGTACATGCTGTTGAGTCTCCGTAATTGAAGCAAACCTGTAGCAGACGCCCACACCGAACTCCCAGTGTCCAGCCATTGTACAACCTTGTTATTCCACTTGGTTTCCAAATGCCACATCACGCTGAACAGCTCTCTGTCTCTCTTGTAATTTTATTCTATTTTATTTTTTCCCTTGCAGAGCATGATGAGTGTGGCAGCGGACAGCATAACTGTGATGAGAATGCGATCTGTACAAACACTGTCAGGGGACATAGCTGTACCTGCAAACCGGGATACGTGGGGAATGGGACCATCTGCAGAGGTAAGGCTCTTACTCTTGAAATACTGTGAACGTGGCAGACTCTGTTAATATTTTCTGACAGTCGCCTACCTTCTGGTAACTTGTGATGGCTGGGGTCTGTCAATGGTTCGCTGTAAGATTTATCATCTGGCAAATGGAGAATGCATGGAGATGATGGGAATTGATTTGTACATAACTTCTTAGCAAGAAGGAAATATTTTTGGAATGCCAGAGGAAAAATACTTTTCATTTACTGTCACTGAATACTGTCATTTGAGCTAGTATCATTCAGCATTTAAGTGATGTTCATTGTTTTATAAACCATGGATGGTATGTGCTATCACCTTTGGCTTTTAAACTTTAATCAGATGCCTTCTAAATTAGGGTAATTGTCTTTTATGCTAACACCATATGGTTTTCCTTTGACTACTCACATCAGAAAAGGGTGGTTGTTTTTTTTTTTTTTTTAATCTTCACCTTTAAACATGTGTTTTGAAGATTTCTCAGTTATGTAAACAAGAAATACTGATACCCCGCCATGCTTTCTGTGAAGTAGTAAGTCATTCATTGAGGGTGGGTTTTTGTTTTTGTTCCTGTAGAGAAAGAGAAGCAAATATGTTATATTTGACAGAGGTGGGAATATATTAACTTGGTGACTTAGTGAGGGCTCTGTTGTGAAGTACTGTTGAGTTGTAACTCACGCATTTATGAATACTGTTTGTCTCATAAAAAGCTATTTTTTGGTCTTGTCTAGGACTGTGTACTTTCTGACTTTCTAAATGGAATTGCAGTAATAGAAAACTAACTTCTAATATTTTTTTTAAATGACAACTATTGAAATTGAGGAATATACTGGGTAAAATATTCTGTACTTAGTTTGGGGGCAAAAGAGGCTGGATATTAATTTTATAGAATGTTGTAAATTGGTCAAGCAATTCCTTAAAGGAGGATGAAGATTGATGTCATTCTTGTTTCAAGTTGAAGTTCTTCACTAAGATCAGTCTGTCAGCTGCTGAATTAGCATACACCATGTAATTGCTTTTTTGTATGACTTTCTTTGGGTACCATCCATCTGCACAGGAGCATCCCTGTGTTTAAAACTGTAAAATGGTTCATAAAGATTTAAGAACAAATATAAAAATGTTATGAAAATAGTGGGCAAGTTAAACCTTGGTCAATCTATATTAGCAGGTGATGCTGGGAAGAAACTCTCCATACTATGTAAATTGCAGCATAGACAACTATAGTTTCAGGGAAGTCTGAATAGCCTGTGTGACTGTGATATTTTTTTTTTCTGAGGGTAATACAGCAAGATAAACCCTTAATCATGTTTCTTTGAAACGGGGGTGTTTGGATTAGTTCATAAAAACCATGTTTTCACACTGGTTTTCTTCGTTTGCACACCTGGGTGTTTGGTTTAATGTGCCAAAAATCTCCAAGCGAAACTCTTACTGCATATTTATTAAGCTAGTAATGTTGAAGTAATGAAATGGCACTGGGGAAATGCAATCATGTTTGTACTCTCAAAGTTCTGTGGAAATCTGAATTGTGGATAAACTATATATAACATGTATTTTTTAGTGTGACTTGAACTGCACAGATGAATGTAGTCATAGTTGCCCTTTTGAGATAGGTGTCCATGGAAAAAGAGGAAACAAAATGTGTTCTTATATTCTGACTGGGAAGCATTAGTTGAAAAGAAAACTGATTGTAGGAAAGATTATAGGAAAGTGATTTGCAATCTAATAATTATTAAAATCTCTAGAGATAAGCATAATCTGTCACTACATGGAATAGTTACTATTGCAAACCAGCCATTACTAGAATTTTGTGCGTTTTAGGAAAACACTCAACATAAAGTAGTGGTCTGAGTTTCTCTGCCTGTGGTTCTGTGGTCACTTGAGGTTTTTACAAGTTTGGACTGCTAATTTAAGAAATGTTTCCATTCTACCCATGGTAGCACCAGAAACACCACTTTTGCCTCTTTTTTACTGAGTTGAACAGTGATACGTTATCAGTTACCAGTCACAGTGGTTTACTTGCACAAATGTGAGGGTTGCCACTTAGGTTTATGTTTTTTGCGTGTACGTGTGTCTGTTGGAGGTGGAGTTGAAAGCCTTTGTAGAAGAATATGTAGGCCAAGACTAAAGAGGAAAGGAACAAACACATCCTTCCTCGTAGCCTCCAATTTTTGTAGCTGTAAGGCTTTCAATGGTTTGTATGCCTCATCATGACCTTAATTGCTGTTTTGATGTAATATTCAAAAGTCTCATTAAAGAATATAGAAGTTTCGACTCGTATTGAGTTTCTCATCTTCATTCTTCACGGTCTTGAGTTTTGTGTAGTTTTTTTTTGTACCTAAAACATAGTGAATAAATCACTGCAAAAAGCAGATAGGTGCATGCATATGCATTTTGGTGTCATGGCACGTGGAAAATGCCATGGCAAGTGTAAGACACTGGATAACTACTTCTTGAGTGAAGCATTCTAGATGTAACCGATTTAATAATTTTACACCAATATACAGATAAACAACAGTGCAACTAGAATTAGATTTTTTTTCATTGTAAATCTAGCATGGTTGGACTCGGAATCAGGACAATGTGATTGAAGCCACTAAATTTTCTATAGTCCTAAATCCACTGCATTAATAAAAATGAAAATTTGAAGTTTTAATGTAAAAATCTTTTTATTGATGATTAGGTAGTTATCAAGTGTGGTACATTAATTATAATTGCTATGTTTGTGTATTGGTTTTTGAGTTTTATAAACTCCCTTTATAAATTATTTGCCATGCAATTTTTAAGCTCCTTCAGTTCAAATGTTGTTCTTAGTTTAGTTTTGGACTGTGGTGATTTAAAACAATTTCAATGAAATGAAAATGATTTATGATAATTTTTTCTTGCCTGGATTTAGTTGTGTGAGATATTGAAATTCAGGTGCAATTATTTTTGTATTAAGAGCTAAGCTGTACATATCCACCACTATGCGGTCCAATTTTACAGCCTCTCTAAGGGCACTAT